GGGAGGCGGAGGGGAGTGGGTGAGCAGGATGAACCTTACTCAGGAGCTGGGGAAGGGGTTCAGCACAGAGGGAGGTGGCCGCTTGCAGGAATGATGGCCCCTATCCCCACCGGGCAGGCAGCGGCGGGGCAGGAAGGAGGAAGCACCTTGAGCGGGAAGCAGGGAGGCTCCTGCTCGCAGCTGGTCTCGCAGTCGACACTAGTGATGAAGGACGCCAGGGCGCCGGGATCCGGGCTCAAGTCGAGGTCGTGGTCGATCAGCTGGCCCCACTGCATGAACAGCAGCGAGCGCTCCTGGTCCGGGGTCAGCTGCTCCGTGGGGAAGCGCACGATGGCGTTGGAGACGGCGCGCGCCTGCGGGACACTGGGCGTCAGGGGCCGCCTGGGGCCCCGCGCGCCTTTGGGCCCGGCCTCGCCCCCTCTGTCGGCCGGTGCTCACCAGGGGGACCGGGAAGCCGCCGCGCTTGACCCCGGGCGTCCAGCCGAAGGGCAGCGAGAAGCCGTCCTCGTACTCAGCCGGCAGCCAGCGCGCGAAGGCGCGGTTGGAGGCCCCCAGCGTGGGACTGCGTCTGCAGGGATCGGACGGGGCGCTGACACGACGTAGCGCCACGGGCCGGTGGGGGACCCGGACGCGACCTCGCGTCTGCCGCCCGCCCCGGGGCCGCCCCCAGCCAGCAGCACCTGTTGTTGCACTGCCCGGTGATGGTGCGGTACTTGTCGTTCTTGGGGCACGTCACCCCCACGTCCTGGTAGGCGCAGCCGCTGGACTTGGACAGCAGATTCAGCTGCGCGGGTGTCAGCACGTCTGAGGCCGGGGAAAGAGGGATGTGGGAATTGAGTCCCTCCCCCCCATTTCCTATCCTAAGCTGGGGAGCCTTGATTTGGGGGCACAGAGAGGAGACTCCGATGTGCCTGAGCCTCCCCCCGGGAAGACGAGGCGGGGGGAACGGGGGGGGCGGGGCACTGGGAGATGCCTGAGGTCCCGAGTAGAGCAGGAGACTGAGGTTGTAGGGGCAACGGTACCGGTGATGTTGAGGGGCCCTGGCCACAGAGGCCGCAGCTTCCCCTCCAGCAGGCTTAGGGCCACATGCAGATAGTCAGCAGCCCTCACGGCTGTCCTGGTGGCTGCCACCGGCTGCTTGAAGTAGGACAGGAGATCCATGGGGCTGGCCAAGCCACTGCGAAGCCGCTGCTTGATGCTGTTTGCAGAAGGGAGGAGTGAGGCCACAGAAGGTGGGGGCAGAGACACTCAGCAGAGCCCGCAGGACAGTGGAGACAGACCCACGGACAGGAAGCAGGTTTCTGTTTATAAACGGACTACGGACCTGGGTATCCAGACAGAGGCAAGGCCATGGGGAGTGATGTTCTCAAACCCAAAGACACAAAGACTGACAGGCAGACGGAGGGTCCCATCCGTACCCACGAAGTCCCCGCATCAAGTTCCTTCTCCGAAAGACCTGGGGCAGCCTTGCCCAGAGCTGGGAAGTGCCCAGTAACCCACCTCTCCCGCTGTTCCTTGTAGGCCGTGTCCACTAGCCGCTTGGCCTCCTCCATGCAGGTCAGCACCACCGAGGTCTCCACTGCCTCTGGGACAGCTGTCCAGAACAGGAGTCACATAAGTCAGGAATGGGCCACCCAGGGTGGCCTGCGCTGAGGAAGGGGATCCTTGGGACTCACAACCACCCCCAAC